ATTTTGAAAGGAAATATCTTATTTCTCATAACTTTCATCCAAAAAACATCCATCAAACGCTTGCTCTGAGTTCTTGAAAAGACCAATTGATGCCCTTTTGGAGTCTTCAAATGACAATGATGAACAGCAGCATTATGTCCGAATGGTCTTTGACTTCTTGTTTGATAAACCTCACTATCACACACCTCCTCCACCTCCTCACGCTTGCATCCAAAAAGATCGAGATGCTCAAGTTGCTCAAGTTCAAGCGTAAATTTCAAACGAGTGTACAACTTTATTAAAAAATGATTGAAGATTTACAAATTCATAATTGATTCAGGGTTCAAAAGGCAGATGTGAAGTTCAAACTTTGAAGTTGAGGTTTGAAGTTTCAAGCTTGAAGTTTGAGATTTGAGGAATGTAGTCTATGTTTTGAAGTGTGGAAAACTGCAGTTTCAACTTGATCTCCTACGATAAATCAAGTCGTAGGCTTGCGTAGATCTGAGCACGCGGGGTGCAAGATTTAACGCAGCATTATGGACTGCATGTCTAAATCAAGTTGATAGTGGACCTGAGGGTATTTTAGCGTTACAGTAACGCTAAATCACCCAGTTAGTGCAACCATAGTGGGTGCTCTTAGTGCTCTATCCAGTGCACTAAATTTTGATGATAAGGATTCTGAAATTTTACCTGTGCCTTTCTTTTCTTTACTCTCCTTCTCTTCTTTTCTTGGTCTTTTTGAGTTTTCTGTTTTTTGTTGTTTTTGCTTTGCTTTTGTTTTTGTTTTATCTTTGATTTCAAAAGTCAAGTTAAAAAGCTGTGTGCAGACTTATTTTTTAAGATTGAGCAAGTATACAAGATGATGATATGAGCAATGATATGCAAATATTATCTTTGAATCAATTGATATCTTTGTTTTCTCTTGGATTGCTGCAAAGAGACCTCAATGATGTCCACCTCAGTCAAACTTGAGTGGGAGAAATTGTTTCCTGAATAAATTTCTTCAGAAGATCTTCTTGAGTAGGATCAAGTATAATTGTTTACAAAAAATGTCATCTTGATATTGAATTTGTACTTCTTGGAGACAAAATAGTAGTGAGGTGTCTTCATTCAAACCACAAAAAGTTGGATAAGTTGGTGTTCACTGGTGAATCCGTGTCCATTATTGCAACAAGTATTTTTCAATGTATAGCCACCACTGATGGGCCAACTGTTACAAACCTCAATATGTAACACACTGTGAAAGGACTGATACATGTCATGAATGAGTTATATTATAACTGTTGTATTACATCACATTTGTATCCTTTTCCTCATCCAACAATCACTTTAATCAATAGGATAAAGACGTTGGCTTCCTTCATTCCCAGAGCCAATCCGTGACACTTAGGCCTTTGCCCCGACCCCAGAATTTTGGGGAGTCCCCGGCTCCCACCCCCGCGGGGGCGGGTTTCGGGACGGCTTTTGGGAAGGAAAATCCCGCGGGGACCAGCGGGGGCGGGAGCCGGGAGCGATGGCAATTCCCCGCACTCCCCGCCGTTTTAGGCAAATTTTTGGGGGACAACAAGTCATTGGCAAAGGTGTATTTCATTCCATATAAGACAGCACTTTTTTACTTCAAATCACATATATAACTCTGTTTTCAATTTCCTATCAATTTCCTATCCTATTTGTAATCAAGATTCTTTTCATTTATTCATTGAGGCGCTCAAAATAAGCTGGGCCAAAGGCGCGGTACCACTCTTTAACACAAAGAAGACGCTCAACTGTATCAGGATTAAGTGTTGATCTTGAATATTGGAGGACAGCCCTGCCTTTGGAAAAGACGTGCTCGGAAGGGCAGCTTGTGGCTGGAATGGCAAGGGAAGCCATTGCCATGGCAGACAGGGCAGGGTAAGCCTTCACCCTTCCATTCCAGTACGCAAGGATATCGTTATCCTTGTGTTCAAGCGGCTCCAAAAGATAACAAGTAATCTCGTTTGTGACTGAATTGTCGTCGGACATCTCTGGTACGCCAAACAGGTTGTCGTCAAGTGATGTAGCGGGGGTGGGAGCTGGTCAATGGGTGTTGATTATCTCAGGAGTCGCAAAGCTGGCATAAGCCTGTGCAGCTTTGATGAAGTCTGCCTTCAACGAGTCGTCCGAGTGCCCACAGATTGCAAGAGAGTCGAAGTAAGTTTTGTAAAACTCCAATTTAACACGATGATCTAGAATAGTCGCACAGACGGGGCCTGGTTTCCTCAAGGCAGCAATTAGGTACGTTTGAAGTTTGTCGATCATGTCATCTGCTGCTGGGATAAGCTGACCAATGTCGTATATATGGCGTACCTTTGATTATCAAATCTTGAATCCAATCAGCTTGAGAAACCGGTGAAGAGTGGTAAAGAAAACTTACCGCTTGTAATTTGTTGATCACGACAACATAGATAGGAATAACACTGTTGATTGTAGGGTACCTGGTTGCACAAAGTCGCTTGGTTGCATCATTAAGCGGTTTGAGAAAGTTAATCATAAATTCAAGCTGCTGCCACTCGATTGGAGTCAACTTGAACTTCGCTCCCTCAGGAGTCGCGGAGAATTGATTGCAGGCAGTCCTATGCAAGAAATAACAATGTCAGCATAGGAAGGTGAGTAAGTAAGCTATGTTGAACATACCTGAGTAACAAGGCATGCTCAAACATAGCGTAGGTGGAGTTCCAACGAGTTCGCACATCAAGGATTAGCGTTTGAGCCGCAGTAGGTGTAGAAGCGTTAGGTGGGAACAGTCAAATGAAGCTCTGAAACGACTCCAGGCGCTGAGGGCTGCTGCGAGTGTGAGTAGAGATACCATGAATGTGCTTGTAAACAGAAGCCATATCGACATGGGCTCCATCAGGTGTATCCACCAGATGGTTGATGGCCATCAGATTTGCTGGGAGATTGTCGCCGTTGTCTGAGGAATCATCAAGTGGCCCGAGAACTTTGAGTCCAGCAATTGCAGCTAGATTTAGAATGTGTGCTACACAGCCTAGAAGGTTCTTGTTGGCCTTGAAAGTCCCACCCAAAGCAGCCTCGATCTCTTTTGCCATAGTTTTGTTGGAGGATGCATTATCCATGGTGATCAAGGCGAGATTCTTCAGACCTCCATAAGGGGCAATTGTTTCCATAAACAATTCCGCAAAGTTTTTGCCCGTGTGGGCTCCTGAAAGAAAAAACAAATCAGTTAAAAGTTAAACTTCAAATTATTTGAATAAAATTGTATAACTGACCCTGGACGTGAGGAATGCGGAGAAGGACATTGACCTTCTCAAAATTTGAGTTGATCATATCAGCCGTGACCGCCATGAACGCCGTATTGTTTGGCGCTGTCTACGCATCAAGTGTGTATGAGACGGCAGGAGCTTCAGTGAGTAGTTGCCCTTGGAGGTGTTCTTGATGAAAGAGAAACACCTCTTGCAAGTGTCGAGTTATAGCATCTTCCTTGACTATCATGGAAGTCGTTTCGGCGTTACAAAGTCTAAGTAAAGTAGTAAATGACTTCTTCTCGATCATTGCAAACAAAAGATCACAATCGGAAATAAGATAACAGATTGCTGTCTTTAGAGAAGCTGTAAGCAAGGCTTCAAAATGAAGCAAACAAACATGGATGGATGAGACTTGAGTGAGAAAAAGGAGAAAAGAATGAAGAATGATTGAAGGATGAAAAGAATCAGAGAGACACTTACCATGCTTTTTGACTTCCCACTTTCCAAGAATCGCTGGATCATGCCCATCCGTTTTGCCCTCTTGTTGGGATCTCCAAGCTTATGTTTGGCGGTCAGATGATCGGACATCCCTTTTGTGCTTGATTGTAGGTCACAAACGAGTAACACTCCACATTCTATCCCACGCTTCGATGTCACAGTGCACTGAACCTTCTTGCCGCACGCTGTAGGGCTAAAGTGAGTCCAAACCCAGCTTCTCTTACCGTTGTTAGAGGCTGTGTTGATATGAGAATCTTTGACTTCTGGAGCATCTCCGGCCTGACTAGCCGCAGAATCACCGGTGAGATCAATTTGTTCCATGATATCGATGAGGGGATAAAGTGATTTTGGTTGTTCAAACTTGAAGGGAAGTGGCCATAAATAGGTGAAAGAAAGGGTAAGAGAAAGGGGAAAAGGGAAGGTTTCATCTAAACCTTCCCCTTGAATTGTGGTTGTCGTACTAGGGCTGGGGCGGACATGTCCACATGTTCTCTAGTAAAGAAGTAACTTTGCAAAGGAATTAGAATTACAAAAAACCCAAAGCACACAGATAATATACTAATTCTTCTACACACCCCTTGGGTATGACTGTCATCCCTCAGAGATTTTAGATGGACTTGACTGACTTGATTAAGTGCTTATTCTAACCCTGGCTAACTGGGCCATTGAGAAATATATTGAGTGTTGAGACTTATCAAATACATCCCATTGATTATTGGTATTCATACTGTTATAATTTCATTGAAGTGTGAAACATTTTAAAAATCTCATTGAATTTCTGTATAAGTCCTTCACACATTTTTCACTGTAAAGCACTATCTAAAATGAGGGGATTCAAAGTCAAAACTGCTGAACACATCTGTGTCTACAATATGTACTGAAACAGTCTTAATTTATCAAGAAAAAAAAATAGAGGCAGGCTTAATGGACAAATGCTTGACATCATTTTTTTTGGAAATATCAAATTACACACCACTGGGAGACCAAAATATGTGAGCATGTCATTTCTAATTTCAACCCCTAATTATAACAATATTTGTTTCAACTTTATTCTTCCCAGCTAAACCATAGGCTCCTTTTGACATACTCGTGGTCTACTCACTTCACTCAACCCTACAGAGTCTATAAGGCAACATAACAGCAACATAACTTTCTAAATGTATAGTTGTAATTTTTTTACAGCAGGCCCTGATCAGAAGGATGTATCCCAAATTGACATGTCAATCCATTTTTCTGCAACATCAAACATCACATGGGACAAATGAACAAATCACCAAACTCAGTACCTGAGGAGCTCTTATTGAAATACTGTTTGTTCAACAGGATGAGATATTGCCCTAAAAACCATGTATATATGTTCTCATGTTTCTTTGCTAATCAAGTAAACAAGCCTTCATTCAAATACAATAAACAAAATTCAACATCATACTCTACTCATACCCCACATCAGTTCAATACAATATACAACAACAAAAAAAAAACCTGTTTTCCCAGAAGATGCAATCATACTTGATATTAGTCTACATAAGGTTCAAAAACTTGAAACATACACACACAACAACAGGCCTGCCAAAGAATAGATTGTGAAAATATATCAGTAGCAATACAGCCATGTGTATGGTCCAACAATGATCAAGCAATGAAATCAGGCGGGATACTTTCGCACTGAAGAAGACATAATAAAAGTTGTAATGTGTGGAGTAGAGAAGAAAAAATGTTCAGCTCAGCTATACAGCTGAAATTGAAGATTGAAGGACGAAGAAAAAGGGTATGAAAATGTATAAAAGCGTCTCAACGGCCTGGTTAGTCAAGTCCGCTTGGGCAAGATAAGCAAGGCTTAAAAGACCACGTGAGAGTGATTGGGAATATGAAAAAGATATAAACTCGTGATAAGAAAGGTGCAACATTCAGGAAGAAGGACCGCTAAGGGGACGCAATGTGAGATCGGAGCAGAAAAAAATCAACAGAGCTGAGTGGCAGCTCTTCGAGTCTTCTTTTTAGGTCGATTAGGTAAATTCAAATTACTAATAGCCAGGGCATCGGGATTCGCCGTCTGGCCAGCGAAGCTCTTTCCAGATCCTGAGCTCAAAGACTCTTGATGACTGGCCCGGAAGATGGATAGGCGACGTTTGTTCTCTGAATTAGTCTGATCAAACTCTTGAGTATGACTTCTAGGGGTCTGATTAACTTCGACAGAGCGAGTAGCCATCCAAGAATCACTATCCTCACGCGTAAAGATTCCGACGGACCGATCGCAAGTGCCTTCATATAAAGTCGCCATCGTTGGATCATTCTGGTTCGAAACCGCCAAGACCTTGCGGCCCCATATAGAAATGAAAAGAATCCGTTTCATCTTGCGATTGTAGAAGAAGTAATGAGAACTCCATAGCAGCCCACCGGCTGATTCTTCCTCTAGATCTGCATCGCCATAGAGCATCGACAAAGATCTTGAACGTGATTTACGCGCCGATTGACCGATTGCTGGAGATTCCGAATCGTGTGAAGTTGTGTCTACAAGGCTCAAGCCGTCTTGACGTCGGAGATCTGATGAGCTAGAATTGCCAGAGCCCCGGTGGTGTTGTTCACTTGTATGGGTCGGAGCGAGTGAAACGTTGGCCGACGAGGACTCATCCACTTCGTCCATAGGCCACATGGTAGTCTCTTCGATTTCTTCGGTCTCGCGGGCACCGATAGATCGATTGGTTCCGTAGATCGAGGAAGAGACACTTTCTGTATCGTCAAAGTCATCAGAATCGACCGCGTGTGGATCACTATCGGGATCAGGATAGTACGAGTAGACTTCGCATTGAGATAAATCGATGGCGGGGTCAAGAATTTGTTTGATTGAGGGGTGAACGCCGGCCCAAATATCGTTCGCGCCTACATGCGGAGCCATGGTGGATTCATGGGCCTGTGAGTCGGGCGAGATTGACAATGCACCCAAGGAGGACGCAAAAACACTACTGCTACTATTGAGCTCTAGGGCTTCAGACATCTTCATCAATATCGAGTGAGCTGACTCGTCCCTGTGAAAATCTTCAGCTTTGACGTTGCTGAAGTTGTGATCTGGATAAGCAGCATTTAGCGTGGCGATAAGCAACCAAAAGGTTTTTCGACAATCTTTATTATCCAATCTTCCAAATGCAGATTCAAGCAAGTGGTGTGAATGTTCAGGTGGCGAGATTGAGGCGGAAACCTCTAGATCAGAGGTGAATTCCTGATCGAGTGACTTAAACATCTTGCGCTCACTGGCAACTGATTTGCACGAATAAGCTTCGATTCGGGTTGTCACTCGTACCGATTGGGAAGCATTAGTTAGACTAGAAGCGAGAAGCTCTAACTAAAGATCGTGTTTCAAATCAGTGTGAGTCAGGAACAATGCCAGCGATACATGTGATGATGTCACTGGTGGTGCAACGCGCTCGTGCTGTGGTGGAATTGCAGACTGACCTCAGGAACCTCGAGAAACTTCATAATGTCACAGTAACCACTCGAGTATACTCTGGTTGAGACTAAATGATCATTATGATGATAACAGCAAGATATTAGATATCGATTCTTTGTAGCGGATCAAGGCGATGACGTCGAGTTCAAACAGCAACTCGTCCTTTATGACATACCTCGTGGTTTGTCACCGGGATAAGAGATGGATCAGGTAAGCTTATAAGCCGATCAGCACTTGAGATGTATGAGCGACTTTCGTTACTATGCTATGTGGCTTGATAAGGCGGATTGAAGGGCAGAACTCAAAAAGTTCTATCGAAAGAGAAGTAAAATTGCACGAAGATGAAACTTTGCTGAGTTGGCGCTGGATTGCAAGATCAACGATCCGGTTGATTGATTGGGTGATTTGATTGGTGGACAGGGGTGAGATGGAAAGGTGTAAGGACTGATAAAAGCGTGAGTTTGAGACCGAAGCTCCAACCTCTTACGATGAGGAGAGTGGCCGAGAGGGTTAGAGGTGAGAGCAGAGTGCGACCGCCTACGATGCGGAGCTGAAATGTGTGAAGAAGGTGAAAGGGATACAAATCAAGGCTCAAGAAGAATGTTGATGGGCCATTGTGTGTTGATGATTGAATGAAAGAAGGAAAGGGACAGGAGGTCAGGGAGAGGTGATCAGATCAGATGAGATCATGCGGAGACTATCGGTACTTTCCCATGATCGGTCCTTTGTATGCGACCCAATTCACCCTGTATGCGTGACAACGTGGCATAAGTTATGGTCTTGGCACAGTTGAAAGGTCACTGAAAATGACGAGGGCAACACATGTTGGAGTCGATGCAACTCTGTGTCCACTGTCTGGACGAGTTGCCACAAATCAAAACATTTCCCTTGGTCGGACCACGAATCAGGATCCTAATGAGCTCCTTGTGGACATACACTGGTATACATAATGAATGTTTGCAGGAATGGATTGCGTGCGCAATCACTTCACGCGCAATTTCGTCAGTCGGGTAGCGGTGCGTTGATATGCCTCAAGTGTACTTGGTAACGATTCAGAGCTAGAAGGACTGTGAAATATGTGCAATCTGTCTTCAAAGTATTGGTCTACCATTGCAAATATCTATCTTTGGAGCAAAGAGACTTCCATTATTTACCTCGGTATCGAATTTTGAAAACCCGATCCTTGGAAGAATATGTATTTGAAAACAGCCTCTTGAGCTATGTATGTTTACAATTCTGTTTAGTCTTTGAGGCCAAAGTTCAAACTATCTCAGTGCCAAGGAAGGCTTTACAATGCTGAGCATAATCTGTGATAAAACTTTACACCATATCTGACTTTTTTCCTACATCAGCAGACTTTTTTTTGTCAATCTGCTTCGAGGTCTGGAGAGGGCGCTATACTTTTTATGACCTTTTGGAAAATTTCTTATTAACCTTATGATTAGGTGGTAATCTATTTACATTTGCCCCAATTCTGATACCAAAAAATTTCATAGTAGGATTTCTATGAAGATAACCATCCACATTTTCAAAGAATCATGTTTAATTTCTCCTGATCAGTTTCTCATCTTTGTGCAAATGCATGATAACAATTAGATCAAACACTTACATTGTTTCTTCCTTTTTGGACAAATTATTTGGTGCTGAAGAACAAAGGCCGTAATACAATTGGATAAAGATGAATTATTTTAACTTATTTCTCAAAGGTGCATGTAACTCACCTTCATTAATTTTTTGGTAATCTCCAAGGATTTTCTTCAAAGGGTCTTGAATGTGCTCTAGTCTTCTCTCATCTTTAGTTATTTTCAAGAGAGAAGAAATGAATGAGATAATAACTTTGGTTTCTTCAGTTTTCTCTTTCTTTATCTTTTCACCAAGATTCTTGAGAGTTTCAATTGACTTTTCCTTGTTTGACTTTAAAAGGGACTCAATTTGCTCTTTCAACTCTGGCATAGAAGACACTTGTTTTTCTAATTCTTTCTCTGCATTCACAGCAGTATATATTAGTTTTGTGCTACAAATCACAAAATCAGCTGAATGGATGACATACCTTCATTCCAGAACCACATGGTATCTGATCCCACCACTGGTTCCAGTTTCATATTTTCAGCTTTTAGTTCTTGTGTTGAAGAACTTTCATGTCTCTCTTCCTGAACTTTTTCTTTGATCTTTAGTTGGTCCTTTGAGACATTCTCTGGCTCGAGCTCTGATGATGTATTGTGTGTACTTTGTCCTTTCTCCAAGTTCTTTGGTTTATTTTGTTGATCAATTTGGGACTTAGACCCTCTTATGTATGGTCTTTCAATACATATGTAGTCGTTGAACAGCTCAATCTTGGTATCTTTGGATTTACTGGCTTGGTTCCTGTTTGGAAGATATTGATTGATTGGAGATTGTGTTGCTAACATAGGCTGAATATTTTTAGAATTAACCTTTTCAATCAACACATAATCATCATCAAGATCATCTTTTTCGTGTAAAGCAAACCCAGTGGTGGCTTGTGGTTCTGAAGGTACCAAAGAAATGGACATGAACCCATAGAAAGTCAGAATCTTGATCAGTCTCACATGTTATTTGAAGGATCAGGTAAGCCTACTCTTCATCAAAGATTTCATCTTTGTACCAGAAATGACCTTTTTCCTTGGCTGCAACATTTCCAAGGGAACAGAATGACATTCTTGGATATGATAATTCAACAGAATGACAACCATATATAGGATTAAAGGTTTGTTGAGCAGCAAAGTCATTTTGAACTGTGTAATTATTATATCGTTCTCTTGAACCTCTGGATATTTTTTGATGATTTTGATCTAGAAGTAATCAAGGGATAAAGGAAATCTTGACCATGGCCATCGCGCTACGAACCCTCATATCTATATCAGGGGTGAGACATGAAAGACTTATCTATCTGAACCTTCCTATCTCACCCTATCTTTCACAATAGGAAGATACGGCACACAATCTTGGTTGGAGGAATGAAACACGGCGTCAGAATAATTTATAAAAGAGGTTCAGAAACTATTAGGCTGCATTGTGGTATGTATGTCTTCTCCCTGGTTCAACATCTGCCATGATTAATCAAGGAACAGATCTGAAACTTCTGCGGCTTATAGATGACTGAGCTTCAGGAGATACATACCTCAAGTTCGAATTTGATACATGTGGCCAGTCATCACAAGCTGAGGTTCAATTCAGACGTGTTGAAAGTCAATTCCATGTCGAATTCCAATAGAGTCTTGAGCAGATACCCATTTCCCCCTCGAAAACATCAGCAAATATTAGTCTAGTGATGGACTTCAGGGCTAATGAGCTACCGAGGCTATGTATGATGTGACGCCTGAGAGCTTTGAGAGATTCAGAAGGAAAAATCCATTTTGTTTTCTCTTGAATAAAAAGTTGAGACAATCTCAGTTTTCCATGATGACTCAAAACTGCAAGCAATATACCCTAAAGTGTGCCAAAAAGCTCCCTGTAAGACTCTAGCCTTGATGATTTCGACAGATATTACTTGAATGCTTTGGGTTCTTTTACCCAAATATCTGATTTTCTTTTCTATCAAGCACATACAAAAGCCCCCAGTCTTTTTACAAGTAAAAGACCGATCCTCACTCTTGAGTCATAAATTAGATGACTATAGTAGGCTTCCTCCTCCCTGAAAGGCCGGTTTGTCCATGGATGAATGGTACGTCATAAAAAAGGACATGTGCCAGGTTTCGTGAAATGCACTACTCAACTACGGACGAAATGAAATATTCACATGGAGGCGTTCTGGGCGGCCACTGGCCCCACATTAACATGCCATTGGGATCTTCATCATATGTACTTCATTCTTTTTGTCCTGATTTTAAGGACTTGTGTTGATCTCTCTCCTCTATATGGCTACTCTCACTGTCTTGGAACATGGTATGCAGACCGTGGACCTCTTTCGCAATTCATCTAACATCTCCGTAGACCAAGTTGCAAGATACTGCGAATGCAACTCGATATGTGGTACCCCATATGAAGTGAAATTCGCAACAAAATTGCCATAACAAGTTAAGTCTCTATGAAAATCATTACCAAAATCTCCACCAGATAACTACAACGAACATAATCCCAATCACTCCCACAGGTGCCCATTTCCTATAAAGAGCATCAATGTTAATCTGACGAGCTGCTTTACGATATTTTAACGATTCATCACGCAAGGAAGATGACATGGTCGACATTCCTGTAGTAGCAAAAGGTGAGATTGAATTCGTAAATGCTTGATAGAATATCAGGTTCAACTTACGATCAAGTGAATCTCCTCTCCATAGTAAATCTTCCATATTCTTGGTCATCACTCTTGTCACCTCTCCTAGGTCTTCGTTTAGCCGGTCCAAGTTTGATTGTGTCCTTGTGTCTTGATAAAGACGTTTGGTCCGTTGAATCTAAATGCATCATCATTTGAACGCGAATTCAGTCAGGAGCTGACAAACCCCTATAAGTGATCCTTATGATTTCTGAATCCCCTTTTACTTACAAAGGTGTCGAATTTGACGAATGCATATGGTCGTAGGTTGGGTTTCGACAATTCCGTGCTATAGGATCGGTCAAATTCTTTTGAAAGTTCTTCAAGGTAAGAAAAGGCTAGCTTTCGAGGATAGGCCTTGCCTGCGATACAAAGATAGACTACAGAATTGGAAATGACATAACTAGCTTGGAAGACCGTCAGTGATTTGTTCGGATTCAAGTCATTTGGGGGGTTGAGTAGATAGGAGGTAGATATGGACGAAAGGCGACCAAGCGGCATTCTGATGCTCACTGTAATGTGTATTTCCCACTCTCGATACTACAACGAGGTTCACTCGTTTCGTTTAACCTCCTGAAAATCAATTTCGCTTGTTGTTTGTATTCTGAAAGATCTGTTTCCGTTTGTTCGTCATCGACAGATGCCGCGAGAGGAAGGCCTAGTTTGGATCGAGGATGTAAGCAGATGATAGTGATCAATTTGAGTTGCGCTTTGTAGGATAGTCACCATCTGGAATCCGGGCCAAGAGCGTGGAAAGGACCATGGTTGAAATTTATGGGTTTTGTTCTGTTTGTGTCTTTCAAGGCTTCACTGTTCATCCAAGAACAAAAAATCGATGATACGTCATTAGGCATACATTATGTCATTGAAACGTGGATGATGACACGCACATACAAGAGGACGGTCAGAAAGACTGTTGTTTTGGGCGATGATGTGGTCCTCAGTTCTTGAGAAATCTCTTGACCAAAGTGCAATTCGGAAAGCAAATAGGAGAGATGATCCTACTTCGAGGCTGTTGGATGCTATTGACTTGGAGACTGTTATTTAAAATGATGGTTGAAGTGTGAGTGTCAAGTGAGGTTCAAGTCAAGCTGCTTTCGAGTCATCGCCACTGCCAGGCTTTTTATCCCATAATCTCATGGGTTATGATAGACCATGGGGCACAATGAGCACGCCGCATGGTGTGGTCAGGTAATGCATCCGGCATGCGTAAGCGCATGTGCGTCTATGTGCGTGCGATAACATGTTCCCAGGTGCTTCCAACCTTAAAAACAATTGTCGACGGCAAAAACATAAACTCAACTAAGTCCCTCGCTGAGCATAAACTCAACTAAGTCCCTCGCTGAGTCTCGCACGCTTCGGACTCAGCGAGGGACTTAGTTGAGTTTAGCAAAAACAGGTTCGCGAAGCGCCTTCACACCCACGCTTCGAGTTTAACCCTTGACCAGCTTCAACTTCGTTGCTAAACACATTTGATCTGCGCTTCATAGCACTTTTGACTGGTTGGAAGCTCTTCTCCAATCAAGTCAGTCGTCTGGTTTCCTTTCTTGAGTAAAAACAACAACAGCACCTGATGTCAATGCATCTACTTCAGCCACTGGACTGTTTCCAAGTTGCGGTCAAGTTAAAAATTCAAAGATAAGTTCACGTCTTGGTAACTGCGTGATGTTTATACTATTTGACATTGAGAGCACAACTAACAGGAAAGAGAGACCCAAGAGCACAATACAACAAGTTATTCTTTTAACACAAGATCCTGAGCTTAGGTAACAATTCTTGACTTGTAGAAACGGTAATAGCAGGACATCCAAAGAGTTGTTCTGTCTTTTCAACAGTGGTCTTGTATTGGTGGGATTGCAATCATCTTTACTTCAATACCGATGGTAGTTTTTCCTTGGAGATGTAGCTACCGTAACAATCTAAACGGTTGCAAGTAAGAAGACAATGTCAGTTGAGGACAACTTATTTACATTGGTTGAGAAATATTCAGAGTAGACTCACGTGCAATGTTATTCATACTTCCACAAAAATACGATGTTTCTGACTGGGTGTCGTCTGCAGGTAGGTGTGTACAAGCTTGGTGATACAAAGTCGCACGTATAGCAAGTGGTGGAATTTCAGCATCGGTATCTACATCCATGCTGTCTGATATCTGCAAGATTTTCTCTACTCACTTAAGTAATCAAGACGCCAATTTTTTTTGTTATGCACAAGGTCATACCAGTCGCACGTGACGTCGGTGGCGGGCTCGTTCTCGGGAGGGGGCGTCTTACAATCAACGCCCGCAGTAGGTTCACTTGGCTCTGGTGTAGTTCACCTAGCGTCAGTTTGTGCTCGTTGCTAGTTGAAGAGCGACAAAGTCTATGTAGTGAAGAATTGCTTACTAGTGCGATGACATGAATCATTGGCAAAGACGTATCTATAAATGCCGTCACTGCAAACTAATCATTCCAGGTCAAGACATACATATCAGCACAATCTGACACGATCACAATTTTCACACAGGGCGAATTTTGATTACAGTCAACTCTCGATATAAGCAAGCCCCATGTATGCATATCGCGATGTAAGCAAGGGTTGCCGCGCGATTTTTTTTGGTATACGTGAGTGCTCCGCCAAAATCAAATTGCTTGATGCATAATGATTAAAGCATAAGATTGGCAAAAATATGCTCTTATCGCGAGATTTTCTCTGTGTATACAAGCATAAATCTCACAGGAGAGGAAAAATATGCTTTTATGGTGATTATTTGTGTGGTAAGTCCGACTGCTGGGCGGTACCATATTGACTCGGCGGGGCCGGGTTGGCTCTGCCCCGCTCAAAGCGGGGCTTATATTTGCGCGCCGGGGGCCCATTCTCACCATAAACGCATAATTCAAGCCAAAAAAGGGCAAAACTTGAATTATGCTTACTTCGTGATTATGCATCGCTCGATGTAAGAGCATCTCCTATCGTTCGAGTAAATTTTCTGTAAATTTTCTGTACATACTGACTCGGTACGGTATCACTTGATACAGAACGGTGGAAATCCACTATCGTTGCATTATATCAAACAAAGTACAGTACATACTGTACAGAAACACCTCATTGCCACTATCGTATGTTCGGTAAAAAAAACTGCAAATCTCATGTTCTATCACGCAACAATCCATCCGAGCACAATCAGTTTGCAAAGACAATTGATCTGATGACAATTGATTTCAGAACAATCACTTTGAAAACAAGATGATTGACTTCATAACAATTGACTTGAAAACAATCGAGCTGAAAACAATCGAGCTGAAATCAAACGAGCTGAAAACAAACGATTGAAAAAAGTCAATCAAAAAACGATCGATTAGAAAAAGATCAATTAGAGAACAGCCAAGTTATCTATATGACCATTTGAAAACCATTGATCACAGAAAACGGAGAATTTACAAGATGAAATTGGTGTTTGATGGTGATACAGGTGTAGTGGGATAGAGTGGGACTGATTTGAGGATGAGTTGTAGGATCGGCTCGGTAGAAGTCGAGCAGATTTGCAGATACCGACCTCTGCAGAATCGGTAGAGGTCCAGCAAATTTACTGGACCTCTACAGAATTTCTACAGATTCTGTGGGTACCGATGCATGATTTTGACACGATTGGGAGTTTTGACCCTCGGTACGGTAAAATTTACCGTACCGAAGCCGTTTACCGAGACGATAGGAGATGCTCTAAGCACAGCAAATCTGTCGACGGTCAATATGCTTACATCGAGAGTTGACTGTAGGTTCATGATCCCTGCGAGAAAGGTTTGACTTACCGGACCGGTTGGTACCGACGTTCTTGCTGAAAGACCATGCACACGGCACACCCGAGCCGTCTTGAGTGGTACCTTGATTGACCAAGTTTAGAACGACAAAGATAATCATGAGGTAGTGGCGAGTGGAGAAATTCATCTTGGCGAGGTAAATGAAAATGTTATTGTGCAGTCGAGACTTGTGATGGGAATGGACCTTATAAAAAACTTTTGGAGCGTGATGAGTGTCGTCGGTGTGCGGAAAAGAGATGCTTTATACATAAAGGGGTTTCAATTTTTTTGCACAAAACCAAGTGGCGCTGAGCATTCTTGCTAGGGTTCAAAAGGGTTCAAATGTTTTGCAGGGCCGCGCCCCCACTTGTGGACTCACAGCCCCCTCGTCAAGCCGCCAAGCAATGTGCCTACATTCTGCTACTTTCTGACCCTTCACAGAACATCAACAGACCTCAACAGACCCTATTTATCATTATTCAATGCAATCCGATTCCAATGATCAAAAAAAATCCAAAAAACCAAGATTATATTTTCTTGATGAACCTCACCAAGCAAAAAAAGAAGTAACAAACAAACCCTTCATTTCTATTTTTCTTTTCCCACTCAACCTCTCATCTTGTATCCATTCTCTCCAAACCTAAAGCACACCAAGACATTTTTCTTCTTTCTTTCCTCTCATACAGAAAAATCAATCCAATATGAATGTATCAGTATAGATTTCTTTATGATTCTGTTCCAACAGGAAATCCCGAAAAAAAAATGTAATTTCCATGATTCAAAAGTAAAAACATAACCCAAAACGATTTGATTTCAATTTATAAACTTCTTTCTGAAAAGAAAAAAAAGAAGAAGATCTATTCTTTCATAGAGATATATCATCATCATCATCATCATCATTGATCAACTTTCAAATCCTTCAACAAACCAAAAAAAAACGAAAAAAGAACCCAAGATCCCAAACCCCTTTGACAACATAAGATCATCTGAATCCATGAAATGAAATCAAATCAATTCTTCATAAAGCATTCGATGATGATGATGATGAATTTAAATAAGTTTTAAACACCACTCGACTTCCTGTCCCTCTACCCGCTCCCGTTCCTCTTTCTCTTTCCAAAGCAAACAAACTATCTTTCAATCCGACCTTACCAGTCTCTTGAACGGCCAAATGTGAAGCTGGTATCAATCCACCTAATCTACTCATCTGTCCTCCTGTTCCTGCTCCTGTCTGATTTCGGGTCTGGTTGGTAGTCCCAGTTGGGTTTAATAAACTCGAGTTTGCTTGATCTTTTCCAATCGGATCTGTCATGAGGTTCGAATCTGAATCAGACTGAACCGTACTGGTTTGTTTCGATAAGTTTTGAGGATTCGATTGAGGCGCGAATTTAGGAGCCGGTAAGGAAGCCAAGATCGAGGTGGGAGTGAAATTCAAGGAAGATTTCGTCCCTTGAAGTTCTGATCCTGATGTAGGTGTAGGTACCTGTGAAGCCTGAAGACCACCCGATAACCAAGAATATTTACTACGACCACCCACAGATCTCATAGCAGTCTGATTCGATTGTCTTGCTCTAGCATCTTCCGACATGTTTCTAGCCTGTTGGCCTGGCCCTTCTCGTTTACGTTTCTTTTCCTTTTTCAAGTTGGATTTCTCATCCATCAAATCAGGCGGTAAAGGTTCATTAGAAATCAATGGGATCGAAACACTCCTGGTCTCATGTGATTGAGCTTGGGATTGAGAAGGGTTTCCATCCTCTTGAAGTTCTTGTTCTCTTTCTAATCTAGCCTTCCGTTCTTCTTCTCCTTCTACTCTTGCCAAGATACTTAAGATCCGTTCAGGTTCTTCATAAACAATTTCATCATACATTCCTTCTCTTAATCTTTCTTTTTGTTTGCCTTTGGGTTGGTTTAGATTAGATGAGTTTGGGTTTGATGGATGTGGATAAAGGGGTGGGGGTCTTAGATGGGATGAAGCGATTCGATGGTCTTTGGCTGAGATTGAATCGATGATGATCGAATGAAGTCTTTGTTCTGCAGCTTGAGTTAAAACATCTAAGATTGCCGGTTCAAGTGTTTTTAATTGATACGAAGCAGCTAGAATTCAAAATCAAAACCAAACAAAAAAAACAAAAGATTAGAATAAAGTTTAAATTCGATTCGACCCCCTTCAAACAAAAGAATCAAAAGATCTTTATACCAATCTGTTGTACCATTGAAGTTAATTGTCCTTTGTTTAAAAAATCCGTAATCTTCACTCGATCTCGTTGATGAGTGGTAGAATTCCATAAAGGTGGGTAAGATTGAATCGAATGAGAATGAGAAGAAGTAGATGATCTATTAAGACCTCTACCATACAAAGAAGTTTGTTGTCTTGCAAGTTCTTCTTCAGCCTAAAAACACACCACAGATTCAGAAAGAACCAACTTGAGATGATGATTTTTTGGTGAGTGAACTGAGTTTGGAGATGGTCTTACGGCTATATCCACACCTGAGATTCCTACTGCATCATTAATGGTATCGAAATCTGTTGAATGGTTTGTGGTACTGGCTGCTGCTGCTGTTCCTGCTGTTCCACTACCTGAAGCCATTGGTCTATCATCTGGTGGAGTAGGTCTATTTAGTCCAAAGATGTCAAAAAGAATCCAAGTTAGAAAGAAAGGATATGAATGATGATGATTTGAGATGGGGATGGCTTGATATCTTACTCTGTTGAATGAAGTTGTTGTTGATGATGTTGATTATATTTTGAATTCACTAAACACTCAATCAAAAGCTGAATGAGATGAGGATTGAGAGAGATGAAAGATTGAAGGATGACTTTACTTTGTTGATGAGATGAATGATTTAAAGAGTTGGGTTTCCATGAAGTACCAGGAAGTGCTAAAGAACTAAGATCAGAGAGATTGATTGATAGTTAGTAATCAGGTGAATGATGAGAATGAGATTGGCTTACTTTTGATGATGAATGAAGTTAGATTTGATGGGAGTTGAGTTTGAGTTTGAATGATCAGTTGAAGATGAAATGCTATAACTTGCTGACATGATCCACTTGGATTTGATTTGATAACTTGATCTTCTTCAAGATTTCGATTTCTCTTTGATTGATTGATTGTTTGGTTGAGTTTGATTTGTTAAGGTAGATAAAAGTTAGTAGTTAAGTAGTTTTAATTTGAACAGTTTCTGACTGCTCCATCTTCGATTTGATGGATCCAACTCATGACTGACTGATTAAGCAGATCATCAACTTATCAACCCATCACATCATGACACCTTCAAGTGAACATTCTTCATCAAATCATCATCAGATTCATCATCATCATTCAACTTCAACTACTAAAGAACCACCTTTCAAAACTCTCATCAAACCATTCCTAAAAAGAAATCATACTCTAGAACATATCAAAGACTCTTTAAAGTTTACCATTAGAAAACATTCATCTACTTCACTCAATCAAGCTTCCATCAACAAATCTAATCATCATCCATCTAACAAATCATCCAAATCAAAATCAAAATCAAAATCATCTATTCTAACCATCAATCAATCCACTTCTCAATCAAATCAATCCACTCCTGAACTCAATCTCAATCTCAATCATAATCAAACCTATAAACTCACAAACAACTCTCAACCAAATCAACTTCAACCATCAATCTCTTCTTCCTCTCCACCTTCAATCTCTGATCATCCATCAACTCATCATCATCTTAGCACTCCTACTCATTCTCATTCTCATCGAATCTCATATCCCAATCAATCAAACTCTAGACTGACAACTGAACCTAATTCAATCTTATCATCTAATCATCTTCAAACTGGTTCATCTTCTCTAACTTCTCCAATCTTATCAGCTGCTACCATCACAAGTTCAATTCATTCACTCTTGACTCAACCTGCTCTAGCTACTCTCACTCAACTTGCTCCTGCTCAACTCTTATCAGGTGTTCATTCGGGTTCATTTCTCTCATCTGATGCTTTTCGAGTCCTCAACGATCATCATCATCATCATCCATCCGAATCTCAATCATTTCAATCTAAACTTACAACTACCAACTCAATCAATCTCAACCAACAACTTGCTCAATCAAGTTTACCTACTACCATCGAACAACTCAGTGCATCTTCTATCGCTCTACCCATCACCTCTATCTCAAGTATCTGGCGTCTTTTGAATTGTATCGAATGGATCAATTCAAAAGAACGCGATCTTCTCAATCCACCTAATCCTAGTCCTCCTAAATCAAGATTTAACTCGTATTCATCTCATACTTCCAACTTATCAAAACATTCAGATGATCATCCTGATTATGATTTGGCTCATGAGAATAGCTTTGATCTGGCCAATATCTTACAACATGTGGGCGATATCTTATCGGCTATCACTTCTAATTCGGATGTCGAGATGGTCTTTTATCATATCTTTTATTCTCCTCAACTCGAATCTATCGAACTTGAAAAACTGCATCCTTCCTCGCATCCTCACTCTATCACTCCTTCATCTAGTTTGGCCGATTCTCATAAAACAAGTCCTTCTGTAGAAAGTATCCCGAGTTCATCACTCGATCGAGCACCTGATTCATCATCTAATGTTTATGTTGGAGCAGGTGCAGATGGGGAAGGTGGTCTAAGAGAAATCTCAGTCAAAGCTGATGAAAAGGGGCTCATCATCGGTCTAACGTGTTTATTAAGACAGATCCTTTATCGTGCCAAGAAGTTTAGTACGATCGAAGTAGGCCTTCATCTCACACCTCTCTATCAAGACGAATCCAAGATGCCAAATAGCAAATCACCATCCGATCAGGATCTCACTCAAACTGTTGGATCTGAAACTCGTGACTCAAAGCCTGATGACTCTAGTTCATCTTCTTCATACAAACCAAACAGTTGGAAATGTGTCTTTGACGTTTCTCTCACCCCACCTATCCCTCCTAAACCTGATCTCGTCCTCTCACCTGAACTCAAGAAACTCAATCTCTTTTCACCCAGCGCCAATCCAGCCCCATCGATCATCACCCAGAATTCACCTAGGATGGATGATTTACCTCCTTCTCCTACATTGGCTCGGTTGAGAATGTCATCGAACCTATCATCGGAATTACCACTCTGTCCAGAAGAATCACTTTCGAAATTGATCTTTGAAAGGTTTTTGGGAATGAGCCTTACTACTGGTCGTTTGACTCGTAGTGGTCATAGTTGGAAAGTCACTGGAATCTTTGAAAAGGGGGTAGATCGTGAATCGGCTACGGTTCATCAGCTCAATCGTACAGCTTCTGCTCAACTCACTCCTCATGGTTCACCTCAGTTGAAAGCCTTAGGACAGACTGCAAGGGAACCGACGGTAGGTGAAGCTTGATCTTGTTTTTTTCGAAGAGTTCCAACTAACTGGGGTTTTTCGGTCTTCAGGCAGATGAGCTTACGTTATTTGCTGAGACTACCTTGAAAGGCAAGAAAGCGGTCTTCTTTGCAGCTGAACAAAGTATCTTTGCTAAACATATCACCACATATCTTACAAGTTGGAACATGGATGTCTCTCATATGCCGTACGAACCTGGTGATGAAATCGGTCCACAAGCTCATAAACCATCTATCTCTGGCTCGCTTACGGTTCCTGCTTCGGACTCATTAAGAAAAGATGGCAGTATTGCTAGATCTGGTGGTCAGTATTTCTTTGACTTGACTTTATCGCATCTTGCTTTCTCTGATCTGTTTGAGTGTCAAACCAGATTCGGTAACAAGTCATTCGGAGGAAACCTCTTCAGCGCCTGCAGGTTCATCTAGTAAGGATTCGAGCGAATCATCTGGGGTGCCTTTGGCTATCAATCCACCCACTCCTGCTCCAACTTTTGCAGCTAGTATTAAGTTTGTTCGGTCTAATCATTTTATCATCATAGATGATGATATCCATACACTCAAGGTTCAATTACATCGACTCAAAAACTCACCTCCTACTTCGATTCTTCTACCACCCAGTGTGGTCCAAAGCAAACATCAGCAGCAGCAAGGTAAACGACCGACATTAGCTCGTCAAATGAAATCGGTCAATCAAGTGAATCGTAGTGAGGTGGTCGGATCTAACAAACCGTTGAACACCTCCATCATCCATTTCACTAGCATTTCTAATTTCCGTAAAGTACAAGAACTTATTCGGACTCACTTGGCTGGTACGCCTTGGATTGCGATCCCTGACGTCCTAGTGGTTCCGAAACCGATCGGACCGCGTAGGATACTGACGGCCCTTCATACAGCTATACATCGACCAGCGGTTGAACCGCAATTCGTACCGATTGCAACCTCACCATCTAGTCCAGGTTTACCTCATTATTTTGCAAATGCATCTCATACTAATATGATTGGAGCCAGTCAACTTGCTCGAACGAGTCCAGCACTAGCACATCTCAACGGACCTGATTTTGATACTGCAGCCGCCAATCATTTGAGACAACATGGAAGTCATAGTACACTTCAAACTGAAATGGTCGCAGGAGGACAAGCTCCATCTTTACAAAGCTCTACTCCACCTGGCTTAAGGACGCCAGGTACGGTACCAGGCACGCCAGGCTTTCCATCACCTGCCATGTTATCGAGTGAAGCATTGGAATATTTTTCAAAAGCAGCCTCTGAGAATGGAGGAAGTTCGAGTACAGGAGTGGTACTTCAATCACCGGATGGTAGACCACAAGCCATGTTCTTTCATCATTCGAGTTCGTCTGTTCGATCGAACCTTAGCTTTAGTCAAACCTTTGTGAACCCGATCCATCATCTTATGAACCATCATCCGGAAAACCTGACGAGTACTTCGATGATCACTGGGAATCATCATCGAGCAAACTTGATCAATAACCCTACTAATCGTCCTAGCCATCAGACTAGCGATAGTCCCAACAATAGCAAAGGACCTCAGAGTCAACAAAGCTATCAGTCTGATCTTAACCGAAGTCGACCGATGATTCGAGAATTACTTCAAGGATCCTCATCCTCATCTGATTCAAAGATCAGTAATCACGTACCATCATCTACCACTTCATCACCTAACCATCTAATGAGAGGTGGGGCACGAAAGCTAGAACATGCGTTTTTAAATTTCAGTGGACCGACGAGTACATCCATCCATCCAACGATCCGAAATGGAGGAATGCTTGGAATGACCCCATCAGATAATGTGATGAACCATGCGATGGCCCTAGACAAATATGAAGCTATCTCACCAAAGACTCCAACCGTTTCATTTAATTCAGAAGCTATCTATGCTTTACAATCTATTCAACAACAACAACAACCAATCTCTAGTCCAATCTTACCTAGACCATCACCTTTGTTAAGGATGCCTTCGGTGCCTGCTAGTTTGCCTTCTTCTATTACGGCTACGCTACCTTCACCTAGAAGAACGAATTTGAAGAGTGGAGGATTAGTGAAATCTTCTTCTGCTAGTCAAACTTTGGCAGCTCATCATGCTCATTCTCATGGGTCTCATCATCATAGTACGACGATCGGATTGGGAAACCCGTTGACGGCTTCCGTTGTGGGTGGTACGGGTGGTATCGCACCGGCTAGAAGAGCTTCAATGGGTGATAGTGCTAGAGCTTTGAGTTCTTTGGGATCGGGAAAGAGAAGAGGGTCTAGGAAACCGGCTACTACACTTGTGCCACCTATTAATGTTTTGATTGTTGAAGGTGAATGGGATCTTTGTGTTCTTTTGAGAGTGTGTTGGATTTTGGATTCTGATGTTTTGAATTTTTATGGTTTGGTTTTTTTTTTGGCTAGATAATCGAATTAATCAAACGATTTTAGCGACTTTTTTGAGAAAGAAATTGGTTAGATATGATGTGGCTATGAATGGACAAGAAGCAGTGGATAAATGGAGAACTGGAAGTTTTCATCTTGTTTTAGTAAGTGAGATTCTATAAAAAAAAAAAACATGAAAGATGAAAATCTCGATTTGAAATTAATGAAAACCAAATGTGTGGGTTTTTCTTTTTTGATTAGATGGATTTACAATTACCGGTCAAAGATGGAATCGAAGCAACAAAAGAAATTCGAGAAG